TGAAAAGCATTGCACTTTAGACAGCTATGGAAAAAATTACAATTGGGCTTCTTGCAAATACCATCGTAATTATATGCATAACATTTGGGCTGAACTTGCTGGCCAGCTGGCTGATGACGAGAACTGACGTTTGTGGAAGGGGCCGATTGCATGTAAATCATCCACAATTCCGCATCAACAGAGGACCAGCACAAGGAAGTATTGTAAGATTTTTTCAGTCGAAACTGGATGTCACAATCCAACCAATTACCTCTCAATTTTTCAGCCCCCCTCTTAATCAGTGTCAAATATTTAAACAATGGGATAGCTTGACAAGTATGTTTTGTTAAGTATACTGAAGCAAATATAGAAAAGGCATCGAACCATTGTGAAAAACTTGAAATTTTTTGGTCCTTCTGCTTTGGTTTTACTTGGAAAACCCCATCCTCAAATACAACTTCATTTTGCTGAGTTACAGTAGGATCATGGGACAAAAGGGTTGCAAAACTTACAAACTGATCATTAAATTTTTTTTCTTTTGTATTTTGCGGCACATGAGCAGCAAGTGGAGAAGCCGCACTGATTAAAGGATTCGGCAAATTATTTAAGGGGTCATAATTGACCGTACCTGAAACATTTGTACCAGAATCTTTGGCACTAAAGGTAGACGATGTGGATGGGCCTGACGCAGGCTGGATATCGGTCAATGGCGCCGACTGCACGGACTGTGTCGCACTCTGCATCACCGCCGGTGCTGTAATTGGCATCAACACCGGTGACGAACTCTGCAAAACCACAAGGGCCGCACTTTCTATCCCCGCCGGTATCGAACTCTGCATTACTGCCGAGGCTGCACTTTGCGTTACGTCACTGGGTTGAATAATGGCGGAGGTAGCCCTGGCCGGCGTCGTTGTCGCAACTCGCCGATTTCTACTACCAACAGTCGAATTCACAGTATTTGTCCTGTAGTATGGACTCCTTGTCTTGGAATTTCTCGATGCCCGCAGCATTTTGTACTTTATTTATCCTAGGATTGCAGGATGACAACTGATTGAATGCTACTGAAAATAAGCATATCTGCTCTTGACTAACTACGAAATAGAAAGGAATAATCTAGAAGACATGCGCAATAAAGGAAGATGAATCAGCATACCGAACCCGAATTAAATTACACATGTAAGAGTTACTCATCTTTGAATACAACTGCACAAAATATTCAGGTTAATCCACAAAGGACAAACCTCATTATATATATTCAACTTTTGCGGGACCACACGCAACATCCTTGTAATCATTATATGTACATACAATATATTTCACTCAGGTATGGCTTCATGTTTTGTAACCTTCTAATTTGTTTAACTAGCTGAAAATTTTACATCTTAAAATTGGGTCAGACAAGCTTCAGATTCTCCTTTGGTATTGTTCTGTTTTCAGCTGTTACTTTTCGGGTATAATGATAAAAAATGTATTAAAATTTATACCTCATTCTTTAGCCATAATCTGTACTATGCAGCATTGAGGCTGTATACATTTATTTTGTGTCCAAGGCCACACACACACACACACACACACACACACACATATATATATATATATATATATATATATATATATATATATATATATATATATATATATATATATATATGTGTGTGTGTGTGTGTGTGTGTGTGTGTGTATAAATATTTATATATCTGTGTTTCTACTGAGGCCTTTGGGACGTTTCAGAATCATTAAATGAATAATTATTTATTGTGCTCATTATTCTTTATTGTCCAGGTGTACAGCCATGCCTCCAAAGAGGGGACAGAAGTCCTCAGTTGCTACAACAGCCAAAAAGTGGAGGGCAGTCCAACCGACAGAAGGATGTCAAGCCATATCACTAGACCTGCCGCCTGTGGGACTACCTGCTCAAAACAGTGGACTCGCAAACATTGACTATGACGAACTAGCTGTAGCAATTCTAATGCACTCACAAGGGCACAATGGGCTAAACGTTCCAACTCAGGAGGCCCCTTCAGTGCCAGCAGCTACGTCTCACTCAGCTGACACATCACCAAAACCCACATCAGATCCACAGTCACCTTCAGTTCCAGGTCCTTCATCCCTGCACTCAACAGTGTGTCAGGTTCAATACTAGAATCTGTTAGATCAAGTTTTTGCAGTTGAGCCAGCAACGGCAACTGATCTTCCTTACTCATCAATTATTGTTAGTGATGGCATTCCCCTTGGGTCTTCAGTTTCTAGCAAACTTAAGTCAAAAATTTGGAATAATAAATTCATTGACTTTCGATCCCTACAAATTACAAGGGAAGAACCTTTGAATATTTCGATTTCCACTGGGGTCATAAAATTGCACCAAAGTCCAAAACTGAAAAGCCCCATAACTATTCCCCAATGGACAGATGCATTTTTTTTTTGTTTGCAGCAGTGTACATTGAAAAGTGCCCTGCTGTCTTTTAAAGAAGTTAAAGTCTTTTAAAGAATGGGCACATGGTAAGGGAAATTCAATAACTTCATGGGGACAATGCATTTCGCTCATATGATGAGCAGTTAAAAGAAATTGTTAATGTACCTTGGCAGCAACCCATTCAGGAATTAAGGCTGAGAATAGTCAAACCCAGCCCTCTCGCATCAAGTTTTGTTTTTAATACAACAGAGGGGAACGTTGTAGTAAAAACCCCTGTCCCTGCAGTGCAGAGGAAACCACCCCAAGTCCAAATGCACAGATTCTTCCAAGCCAAGTATGCAGAATTCACAATCAAAAACTCCCAACTCCAATCAAAGTAAAAAAGTCTGCTTGAAATCCTGCAAGGTTATGACAAATACAAACTTTTAGGTATCATAAATGGATTCACCTATGGTTTTCACTTAGGCTGTAGTGGTATACCAGGTTCAAAGATATCTAGGAATCATAGAAGTGCACTTGAACATAGTTCTGTTATACAGGAATTCATTAATAGTGGTAAAGAATCAGGGAGAACAGCCGGGCCCTTCCCCTCTCCACCACTTTCCCAGTTTGTTTCTTCTCCTTTAGGAGTTGTTCCTAAATCAGACCCTGGTAAATTCCGAGTTATACACGATCTCTCTTTTCGTAACCACAATTCAGTCAACTGTATGATCCCTGAAGAAAATTCAAAAGTAGTACGACTCTTTAGATTGTAACGTGTGCCGAATACACAAATCTATTTTTGGCTCCCGATGGCACACTTACAACAACACACCAGTCAAAACGAATTAAAACTTCAAATTTTAATAGTAAAAACAAATAATCAATAATAAATAAGCACACACAATTACAGTTACACACAAATTGACAAAATAAACAATTCGCGGACAGAATTTACTCAGCTGTTAGTCAAAAAGGAAGTCCTCCAGCTCCGCGGACATCGCTCGCTATGTACATGGCAATACTTCCACGGTTAGCCCAAGCCGAATTACGAAGTATGAAAACATCCACCATTCCTGTGCCCAATGTCTAAAGTCTCTTGAATCTCCTATCTCGCAGACGATCGCGTGCTGGTGTTCCTCGGCTTCCGGAAATCACGCAAACGGTTACGAGTGACGTCACACATAACAAAAATAACAACTACAGCTGACGCAATATCTATTAATAATATTAGAGTATCGTAACACTTCCCCCCTTAAAGAAAAGTTTGAGTGTAATGAAAACTTTTACAATTGTTATGAAACAATATGATTTTACAAAATTTACATACATTTCAATAATATAACATTTCAATCAACAGGTACTCTCGACAATGCGTCTGCAATCAAATTTTCTCTACCTTTAATATGTTTAATGACAATATTGTGTTCCTGTAATTCTAAACTCCATCTCATTAACCTCTGGTTCTTGTTTTTCATTTTGTGTACAAAGGTGAGTGGATTGTGGTCAGTGAATACAACAACTGGATGTACAGATGAATATAAATACACATCAAAATGCTGCAATGCTAATAACATAGACAAACATTCTTTCTCTACAGTAGAATAGTTTCTCTGACATTTTGAAAACTTTCTAGAAAAATAAGCAACTGCATGGCACACATAGTTCTCATCTTCTTGCAATAAAATTGCCCCACAACCCACATCACTAGCATCAATTTGTAACAAAAACTCTTTATCAAAATTTGGTGATGAAAGAACTGGAGAGACCATGAGTATGGTTTTAATTTGTTTAAAGGCCTGTTGGCACTTTTCATCCCAAATAAACTTGCTGTTCTTTTTCAAGAGACAGGTCAATGGGTTAGCAATAGTCGAAAAGTTTGGACAAAACTTTCGATAATATCCCGCCATTCCCAGGAATCTCATCAGTTCTTTCTTACATTGAGCAGGAGGAAAATTGACAATTGCATCAACCTTAGCAAAAACTGGACTAACATGGCCATTACCAACAATGTGGCCCAAATATTCAACAACAGCATGACAGAATTCAGTTTTTGTAAGGCTTACAGTCAAATTTGCCTCTGATAGTTTTACAAATAGTGCCCTAATATGTAACAAATGCTCTTGAAAAGTGTTACTGTAAACTATCACATCATCAATATATGCCTCACTTGCATCCAAGTCACCAAGCAAATGATTGATCATCCTTTGAGAGGTTGCAGGGGCATTTTTTAACCCAAAAGGCATCACCTTGTATTGGTAGAAACCCTTTGGGGTAACGAAGGCTGAAATCTCTTTCGCTGTCTCGGTCAATGGGACCTGCCAATACCCTTTCAAAAGATCAAACTTACTTACATATTTGGCACCACCAATCTTATCTATACAGTCCTCAATTCTGGGAATGGGGTAAGAGTCAGTCTTGGTGATTGCATTGACCTTGCGAAAATCAGTGCAGAATCTAAAAGTACCATCTGGCTTGGGAACAAGATGACAAGGAGAGCTCCAAGGGCTGTTACTGTATTTAATGATGTCATGTTCCAACATATAGGCCAGTTCTGCCTGACAGTGTGCCTGTTTTAAAGGGTTCATTCTGTAAGGATGTTGCTTTATGGGAGATGCATCCCCAACATCTATATCATGATATACAAGATTGGTCTTTTTAGGAACATCTGGGAAAAATGTGAAAATTCCTGTATAAGAGACATTAGCTCTTCTTTTTCATTCTCATGCAAGTGACCAAGTTTAGACTGCAAATCAGAAAAAATGTCAGAGTTTTTCAACTTAGGAGTAGATTGATCATACTCATGTGCAAATGGGTCTTGATCTGGGGTAGTGACTTCAGCGCTTGAAGCAGCAACTGATTCTACCTTGGGGTGATCTATGTCAGTTCGGTTATGATACTGTTTGATCATGTTGATGTGGCATAGCTGTTTGCTCTTGCGTCGACCTGGGGTCTTAATAATGTAATTCAAGTCATTGACCTTTTGCTCAACTTCAAATGGGCCAAAGTATTTAGCACGTAAAGGCTGACCTGGAATGGGTAGCAAGACAAGGACCTTGTTTCCTGGCTTAAATGTTCTAGTCTTTGTACGTTTGTCATACCAGGTTTCCATTTTATCTTGACTTACCTTTAAGTTCTCTCTGGCTAGTTTCCAAGTCTGACTGAGTCTCTCTTTGAACTTTGCAACATAATCTAATAGACTTGACTGACTCTCTTCAACCAACCATTTCTCTTTTAACAATTTTAATGGCCCTCTTACTGTGTGACCATAAACAAGTTCAAAGGGACTAAAACCCAGGGATTCCTGTTTTGCATCTCTAACAGCAAATAAAAGAAAGGGGATTCCTTGGTCCCACTCTTTCTCATTTGATAAACAATAGGTTCGAATCATATTTTTCAAGGTTTGATGAAACCTCTCGAGAGCCCCCTGGGACTCTGGGTGATATGCACTGGAGGAATGGTGTTTAACCCCTAACTCCTGCATGATCTGTTTAGAGACCTGAGAAGTGAAGTTGGAACCTTGATCAGACTGTACTGATATGGGCAAACCAAAATTGGTGAAAAACTTAGTCAAAGCATTGACAACTGTTCTAGACTTAATGTTACGAAGGGGAATTGCTTCGGGGAAGCGTGTTGACGCACAAATTATTGTCAACAAGTACTGCTTACCAGCTTTGGTTTTAGGTAAGGGACCCACACAGTCTATAATGACCTTAGTAAATGGCTCATCAAAAGCAGGGATAGGCTTAAGAGCAGCAGGAGGGATTTTTTGATTAGGTTTTCCTATTACTTGGCAGACATGAGAAGACCTACAATAGTCAACTATGTCCCTTCTCATTTTTGGCCAGAAGAAGTGAGCCAATATTTTATGGTAGGTCTTTGTGACCCCCAAGTGACCCGACATTGGTGTGTCATGGGCGAGACCTATGGCCGTTTTACGATATGCCCTCGGAACAACAATCTGATGGCGAATTTGCCATTCATCATCTACTGAAGCATCAGGGGGACGCCATTTTCTCATTAACACACCCTGATTCTTATAGTAACCAACAGGGACCTTCTCCGTCTCTTCTGGAGACATAGCCTGTTCAATGAGACCTTGAAGTTCAGCATCTGACTCTTGTTCAGATATTAATTCAACTCTAGTAAGAGGGGTGTTGTCCAACATTTCCTCTAAACCAAGTACATTACTTTTAGACTTAGACTTTTGATTCTCAGGGGAAATGTGACCTTCTGATTCTAACATCTCTGACAAAAATGTCCCATTAAGGTCTACAGAAAAGTCCTTTCCTGTATCTAACTTCTGTTTATCATGCCCTAGTTTCTTAGCCATAGCCCTTGTAATAGCACATGAAGGAAATAACTCTTTATTCTCCTCCTCTACCTCTGCTATAAGACTAGGCTTTTCACAGATGATTGGGTCAGGTACCACCCTACCCCCAGCTAAATCATTGCCTAACAGAAGAGAAACTCCCTTAACAGGTAAAGTGGGTCTAACACCTACGACCACAGGCCCAGAGACTAAATCTGACTTCAAGTCTATAACATGAAGAGGAACTTTTACCAGTCCTAACTCTACACCCTGAATCACCACTTCAGAACCTGTGTGTGTCTTCTCAGACAGTGGTAGCACGCCCTCTAACAATAAAGACTGAGAAGCACCTGTATCCCTCAAAATTCTTATAGGGTGCGAGTCGGTATCTACCGACACCAAACCATTAAATACAAAAGGCTTAAATTCCTCTCTAAGAACATCAGACTCTGGCTTGACCTCTGTGTTCTCAAACTGACTGCAGGTAACCTTACCTTGGACAGATGTAAGGGCACTGGGACTTGGCTGCACATCAGCAGTACTTACCAGTTTTTTCTTCTGTAATGCCCAACATTCAGACTTAATGTGACCCTTCTTTTTACAATAATTACAAGTTGGGATCTGCTGTAAGCTTTCATTTTTCTTGTCCTTACCTTTAATCTCAGAGTAGGCTAACTTAGGATGATTTACCTGTGAAGTGTCTGGTGCCCCTCGAGAACCATCAGAGGGGTTCATCCTCTGTTCACTACTGGGTTTTACAAATGAAACCTTATGTGTTAGTGCATAGTCATCAGCTGCAGTCGCAGCTTGCTCAAGAGTCTCAACCTTCTGTTCATCTAAATAGGTTCTAATTTCAGAATGAATGCAGTTTTTGAATTTCTCAATCAAAATTACCTGCTTCAACCTTTCAAAGTCTGATCCAACATTTTTAGAAGTGCACCATCTCTCAAACATATTTTGTTTCTCTCTAGCAAATTCAACATGAGTCTTTTCATTGAATTTCTTGTAATTTCTAAATTTCTGCCTATAGGCTTCTGGTACAAGTTCATATGCTTTTAAGACATTTTTCTTAATAACATCATAATTTGTGCTTTGAGGAAGTGACAATGCACTATAAACTTCCCTAGCTTTGCCAACAAATGCACTCTGTAATAATAGTGGCCAGTATTCCTTTGGCCATTTCAAATTCTCTGCTATTTTCTCAAAATGAATAAAATATTTATCAACATCTTTCTCTTGAAATTTTGGGACAAGTCTTATGTTTTTTGTTACATCAAAGTCAGATTTTGACCTAGCCCTAGCCTCAAGTTCTAATTCATGTTTAACCTTTTGAGTCTCAAATTCTAATTTTTTAATCTGTAACTCATGTTCTCGATCTTGTGCACTTTTCTCTCTTTCATATTCTCTTCTTTCTCTCTCAAATTCACGTCTTTCTCTCTCTTGTTCAATTTCTAGTTTCTTGAATTCCAATTCATATTCAAAATTTCTATTTTCAATTTCACTGTGTTTAAGATCTACAACCAATGACAAAGCACTATCATCTAAGATATTCTTAAGGACTAAATACTGAACCACAGCATTTCTGATCTCTATTTTCCGAGCACTACGCTTAACATTCAAATGAAACTTTGTCACAACCTCAAACAGTTCATCTGTTCTCAGAGTTTCAAGTAACCGTGCATCTGGTGCTTTCAAAAACTCCTCCAAGTTAAAAACCATCTTGACTGGTGTGTACAATAATGAAATAAATTCCCAAATGAAATAATGTTGTGATCAAAATTTTCCGAGATATCGTTTTTGAAAATTACCCACAAAACGCCAAAAGTTCGATTATCCCGGACGAGCCCCCAATTTGTAACGTGTGCCGAATACACAAATCTATTTTTGGCTCCCGATGACACACTTACAACAACACACCAGTCAAAACGAATTAAAACTTCAAATTTTAATAGTAAAAACAAATAATCAATAATAAATAAGCACACACAATTACAGTTACACACAAATTGACAAAATAAACAATTCGCGGACAGAATTTACTCAGCTGTTAGTCAAAAAGGAAGTCCTCCAGCTCCGCGGACATCGCTCGCTATGTACACGGCAATACTTCCACGGTTAGCCCAAGCCGAATTACGAAGTATGAAAACATCCACCATTCCTGTGCCCAATGTCTAAAGTCTCTTGAATCTCCTATCTCGCAGACGATCGCGTGCTGGTGTTCCTCGGCTTCCGGAAATCACACAAACGGTTACAAGTGACGTCACACATAACAAAAATAACAACTACAGCTGACGCAATATCTATTAATAATATTATAGTATCGTAACAAGATGTTGTAACAGACCTCTGAAAATTTGGTCGCGGTGCATTGATGGCTAAGATAGACACTCAGGATGCTTTCCGCATAATTCCAATTCATCCTGATGATTACAAAGTCTTAGAATTTTCTTGGGACAGTATGCTCTTCTATGATAAGTGTCTACCAATGGGTGCGAGTAGTTCGTGTCAGATCTTTGAACGCCTTAGTAGTAGTTTGCAGTGGGCAATGTGTAAAAAATTGTCTGCTTCCGGAATGTCTCACATGTTAGACGATTTTTTCTTTATCGGGCCCAAGGGTTCTATTAAATGTCAAGCTGATCTTAAAAGATTCTTGTCTATTTGCGCAAAATCAGGCATACCCATCCAGGAGGAAAAAAAGTTTCTCCTACCACTGTATTAACCATGAAATATATGGAGATAACGAACAGTATTCAAGCTCAAAAGTCCATTAAACAATACAAAATAGGAGCAGAGCAAACACGGACCTCCAAACATTAGAGGTGGGATCAGGTACCATGGAGGAGTGAGCATCCCCTGCCGACCGGTCACACCCGCCGTGTGCTCCTTGTCATGATCGGGAAATAACGGGAAAATCCGTCGACAATTCAGTGTGTAAATAATGGCCTAACAATAAGTATGAAAAACGCCAGTCAGCATTTGACTCAATGATAAATTGTATTTGCTGACAAGGTCATTGTATCGACCATAGAACTTACAAAATGATGACTTTAAACGAGACAGCTAATATTCTTGTTTCATCAACTTATTTGTAAATAATTTACCTCGTTTTAGAAATTGTACATACGTAGAGCATGCTCTTGCGTATCGAATCAACTGAGAGATATATACACCGTATGCAGGTGATGAAGGTATATTGCTGCATAAGTAAGGGAAGTTGACGATTGAAAAGTTAAAGTCATCACGTTTATCATGAAGCTTGGTTGTTAGATTACCATTAACATCTTTTTCAAGTAAAATATCCAAATATGAAACAGATGTGTCAGACTCTGTGGTATCTTTTATCTCAAGTTCACCAGGATATATCGTATCGACATAAGAATGGAAATAGTCATTGTTAATTGACAATACGTCGTCGATATATCTAAATGTCGAGTTGAAGGCCACAGCAAGTGTTTCCTTCTTTTCACGTACAAGATTTTGGACAAATTCTGCTTCATATGAATACAAAAAAATGTCTGCTAATAACGGGGCGCAATTGGTACCCATGGGTATTCCAATAGATTGTTGGAAGACCTGGTCTCCAAAAACCACATTGATATTGTCAATCAGAAACTCAAGCATCTTTTTAATGTCAACTTCAGAGTACTTGTGTGTACAATGAGAATGTTTTTTAACAAAATAATTTTGCAAATGACCAATGACAAGGTAAGTATATTTACGAGTTCCATTTTTATTGAAAAAGCAGCTGTCAATGATATCAAAAAGCCTGGACTTTAATTTATCGTGGGGAATGGTTGTGTATAAGGTTGAAAAGTCTTAAGTTTTTAAGCTGTTGATTTTGGTAAAATCTTGTGATTTCAAATTTTCCGAAAGTTCCTTGGAATTTTTAAGTATCCACATCTGATTTACACCACTTCTCGAATATATTGTTGCACAGTACTCTTGAAGTTTCTCCTTCGCCACTGTTAATATCTTAGTGAGGAGTAAAGATAGAGGCTTGGTTGAACATCTACTGGAATCCCGCTATATATCTTTGTTTGTAAGGATTTTTCTGAAGTTTCGGAATCCAATATAATATGGTAATTCAAATTCATTTTGGTTTGGAATATTAAAAATATTCAAAACTGACATATGATTTTGAAGAATTTCTTCCTTAGAAAGGGAACTATGGGTATAAGTTGGATTACCACTTGTAGAATTAAATCCAAGTTCCTCAAAAATACATTCAATATAATGAGCCTTACAAACAAAGACAATGTTGTTACCTGCTTTGTCAGCAGGGACCAGTACGTACTGATCATGTTATCTATCTAATTCTTTTTTCACTTCTGGATTATTGAATACAGAAGGATAGATGGTTTTCATATTGCCTCTCAATCTTTTAATGCGCGATTTTAACATACATCTGATACATTTAATCCATTCTGACAAAGTGTCAAGGTCTTTTCCATGTCTGGCCCATCGCCTGGCGTAGTCCTCTACAGAATCCATAATATTTATGAAATTCCGACGCCAGTTGAAGGATCTGGGTTCCCTAAATTTAGGACCTTTTAAAATTAGTGATCTAAGGTCCTCATTATAAACTATATTTACGTCACCAGTAATAACGTGTCCAGCAGGACTATAGTTATAGGGCGAAGAAGAACATGAACACGATGGAGGATTATGTTTCAGATATTCGATATCCAGGCCCTGTAAAGTTTTCTTGTAATTAAAAAGTGATTAAAATCTTGTAATTAAAAATGTGATAAAAATCCATCCAGACTGTGCTGTCATATAGTGATTATGTATTTTAATTTGAAATGATAAAGATTCAAGATCACTAAATGAAATTGAATGTGAAAAAAGCAAAAGTACGGAGACCCCTCCCCCCCCCCATCTTTTGGTCGTGGACAATGTTGACTTGGACAACTTTTGTGCTGTCCCCTTTTATACTGAGGGTTTTATTGATTGTTCTATTTTACTTTTAATTACAATAAGCACAAAATAGTCCAAAAATAAATAAATAAATAAAATTTTAACAAAAGCATGAAGCACTAAAGATTTAACACACCAATAATCAGGCGCTTAGCATTGTTTTTTTTTTTTTTAAGTGTGTGTGCAAAGGAGGAACAAGTAAAAATTAAAGGTAAATAAAACTTTCAAAAGCAGGAGTGGGATTTCCTTTTTAACAGAAAATATGAATACAATGACATGGTTAGGTTCGATCATATTGAAACGGAAAAGTGGTGGGGTGAGGACTGCCCTTGAATGAAAATTTTAATGCTACAGTACATGTATATTAAAACTAAGAAGAATTCTAAATGTCCTCTTAAAAAGTCCCCCCCCCCTCTCCAAATGCTACGTGCATTGTCATTGAAAAAAACCCGAAATATCCTTTTACTAACCCAGAGGAACAATTTTTATAGAAACGACGAAGACACTGATAAAGATGTTTGTATGTAGTACAGTTTATTTGCTGTTCACGCAATGCCTTCAACATGGAAACAGCTAAACGCCTTGCTCACTGGGACCGATTGTTTTGAGAACTTTGATGAATTAATGATTTACATAAAATGACGACTGACACAGGTACAGATTTTTAATCAAGTACGTTGCATGGGAGGGAGGAAGGGCGGGGGGGGGGGGCTTTTTTCCGAACATAACCTTTTACTCTTGAAAATCTTCAAATGTTCAGGTCGGCCCTTTTCGTCTTGTAGTACATATATATATATATATATATATATATATATATATATATATATATATATATATATATATATTCAGATCGGCATGGTAATGTACAGGTATTAACGACATTTGTTTGTGGGAAAAATGGGAACCTATCCATTCCCGTCCTACGAAATAGGATTTTCGAATTAGACATTTACTATTATTTTCTATCTTCATCTTTTTTTGGTTAGTTGTAAAATAATATTTTTTCTGGCTGCCCCTATATTCAGATACGATATTACGCGTGCCTGTTAATCGATGCTGAAAATATATTGTATTTTGTATGAAATGTTGTACATCCTCAAAATTTCGTTGATTTTTTTCTCAAGTATATAATCGGGTGTATGAAAAAAAAATAATTCCTGTCTTTATTAAATAAAAAAAGGGACAAAGAAAAATGATAAACAGGGAAAATGCCATAATTTTTCTTAAACAGTATAATCACTGTGTATAATAATCTTAACCCATATCTAAGTTCCACTATATAATCTTATGAATATATTTTTTTAGCCTTCAAAGTAGAATTAGGTGAAGTGTTTAACTTTATTTACTGATTCAGCAAACATATTTGCTACCATGTTGATTGTGGTTAATGGCCTGATGATAGACCTAATATTTTTTTATGAATTAAAAATTCAATACAAACTATTTTTTGTAATAAGAACATAGATAATTCAACTTGTTCTAAAAACTTATCTCGTGTGTATAAACATGTAAAACTAGTGCTTATTGTAACGGGGACAGTTACAGATGTTCCCCAAACGCTCCCCAACTCTCTTTAAAAGTTTTATTCCCTGTGAGCTTCATTATAAAAGGCAATCAAGCATATTTGTCATTTTACGCATTGCACGCGCGCTCACGTGCAGGTATGTGCATGATGACCATGTCCTCTTGTTTACACTTTAAATACATCTTACTATTTTGAATATCAAAGCATTTTATCAAAAAATATAAAAGTTACAGCTATATGAAATATATTGGTCATTTTATGCATTGCACGCGCGCTC